TTTTATTTAGAGCTTTGGGGTTTGATCTGCAAACCCCTGTTTTCATTTAGAGTTTGGGGTTGGAAATAAAACCTAAATCCATTGTTTGCATTTGGACTTTGGGATTTGGAAGTAAAACCTAAACCCACTGTTTGCATTCAGAGTTTGGGGTTTGATCCACAAACCCCTGTTTTTATTTAGAGTTTGGAAATAAACTCTAAACCCACTGTTTGCATTTGGAAAAAACCCTAAACCCACTGTTTTCATTTAGAGTTTGGGGTTTGGAAACCAAACCTAAACCCACTGTTTGCATTCAGAGTTTTAGGGCTGGAAATAAAACCTAAATCCACTGTCATTATTTGGAGTTTTGGGGTTGAAAATAAAACCTAAACCCACTGTTTGCATTCAGAGTTTTGAATTTTGATCTCCAAATCCCTGTTTTCATTCAGAGTTTTGGGGTTTGAAGATAAAACCTACAAATCATTGGGTTGTAGTAAGAATTTGGGGGTTGGAAATAAAACCTAAACCCACTGATTTTATTTAGAGTTTTGGGGTTGGAAATAAACCCTAAACCCATTGTCATTATTTAGAGTTTGGGGTTTGAAAATAAAACCTAAATCCACTGTCATTATTTGGAGTTTTGGGGTTTGGAAATAAAACCTATAAAATACTGTTTGCATTTAAGAGCTTTGGGGTTGATCTACAAACCCCTGTTTTCATTCAGAGTTTTGGGATTTGATCCACAAACCCCGTTTTCATTTGGAGTTTGGGGTTTGGAAATAAACCCTAAATCCCCTATTTTCATTTAGAGTTTTGGAGTTTGGAAATAAAACCTAAATCCACTGTTTGCATTTACAGTTTGGGGTTTGGAAATAAAACCTAAACCCACTGTTTGCATTTGGAGTTTGGGGTTTGGAAAAAAACCTAAACCCACTGTTTGTATTTAGAGTTTTGGAGTTGCAAAAAAACCCTAAATCCACTGTTTGTATTTAGAGTTTTGGGGTTTGGAAACTAAACCTAAATCCACTGTTTGTATTCAGAGTTTTGGGGTTTGGAAATAAAACCTAAATCCACTGTTTTCATTTGGAGTTTGGGGTTTGGAAATAAAACCTAAACCCACTGTTTTCACTTGGGAGTTTGGAAATGAAACCTAAACCCACTGTTTTCATTCCGAGTTTGGGGTCTGACCCCACTGTTCCCATCCCAAATTTTGAACCCAAACCCTCCAACCCCCTTTTTTCCCTTAAGAATTTGGAGGTTTGACCTGTTTTCACTCCCAGTTTTGGGGTTTGAAGCTTCTGAGGTCCCAGAACAACCCCTTAAACCCTCCCCCTCTTCCCACCCCACCTCTCCAGTCGTTCAGGAACCACATTCCCACCCTCTTGACCCCACCAGGACTCTCCCTTTTCCCAGAAAACCTCCGAGCCCCGTTCGATTTCCGTCCGATTTCCTCGCGCGGGATTTCGCCCGGATTTATTCCCGGAGGGAGGGAGGGAATAACTCCCAGGGGAAGGATTATGCTGCTCAGGGAATTCTTTCCCACCTGTCCATAGATCCTGTTGGGTTTCTTGCCCCTGCAGCTGAGCAGGGCCCACCTCTTGTACTTGACGTTGCAGACGTGGACGTCGTTGCCGTTGCTCTCTCCGAAGGGGATCCCGGTGCCCCCGAACACCAGCAGGTTGTTCCCGTGCAGGACAACTGGGAGAGAGGGACATTGGTTGGGATGCAGTGGGGAAAAACAGCCGGTTCTGGGATGGTTCTGGGATGCTGGAGGGGGAGGTGGCCCTGCCATCGGACCCTTGGCCAAGCATTCCATGATTCCAAGGTCTGGAGAGCAGGGAGGGTTCATGGACTGCACGGACA